CCCCCTCGGGCACAGCCGCGGGGCGGGAGATCCTGGCTCCGGAAGGACTCGCGTCCTACCCTCGCGGAGTCGGTAAAAGCCCGAAGTGCCCGCGGTAGGTGGCAGTTTTCTAAAGCCTGGTTTTCTTTGTCAGTATTGCGATTGCTTTGTTTTGTTTTGTTTTAAATCCACTCGCCTCCGCACCCCTCCCTCAGCCCCCGGGCATCTCGATGAAATAGTTTACACATATTTCTCTCCAAAGTAAAAAGCAAAGTGCTAGCATGCCCTCTGGTTTCACTCCAGAGAGTTACACACGTTGAGTTTTGCTGTAACTCACCGCTTCGCTTACAGACTTTTCTGTGAGAGGCCCTGCTTGATCGCCCATGTACATCAATCCCGGCTTCCGGAATACGGAGGACTCCCGGGGAAGGGCGGGGCAGGCAAAGGTGGTACCTACTTTAAAAACATTAAGATAAAGGAAAACGAAAGTAAATACAGAAGAAAACAACCCAGAAGCTTTCCCGTGACAATCAGTGCCAACAGTGAGCTCTGATGGAAGAATTTGCAGTTTAAGCTCTCAAGCCCCAGGTCTTGTTACTAACCTGCTGGTACCCCACCGGATCCTTCCTCCAATAAAACAGATGTGTGCTCGGATCTGAAGAGCTTGGAGGAGAAAGGCTGTGTCTCTCAGAGTGTACTAGCAAACCACAAGGATAATAAGATTTTCTTACTGTTTGTTGCATTACTGACAGAACGATGAGCTTCCCTGGGATTCACTGTTAGAAATGCCTTCAGGTGCGTGTAGGCACTCATGCTGGATGACTCTGTGAATTAAAATGTGCAATGAGGTGATTCCCTTAGTAATGATAAACCACTCTGTCCTCTCAATAGCACTAAGTATTTAAAATCACCTTAGTATGTGTTAAAAATTAATAAAGCAAAGAGTATGCCTTTCATGGGAGGGAGGTTGATTAAAATGAGGGGACAGAAACACTGCTAGGTGGACCACATAGATCAAGAAAGAGACAATTTTCCAACTGATAAGGTAAAATCTAGCCTTGCTTCCAGACGTTGCATCCCTTTTGTTTTAGAATCCCTGGAAAGAAAAACGTCTGTACAAGTTACTGTGGTCTTGTATTTAGTGGAATCACAATTTTAGTCCAGTTAACCTTGTTTTTAACTGTCTCGCAAGTAGCTTTTCACTGTTTTGTTTTTCTTTCCTGAATGTGTTATTGAACTCAGTTGTTTAGTTATCATTGTATTTGTGGAGTGTTTTAACCTTTGACTTAGAAATATGGACTCACTGTGTGACTGTCGGGGAAATCTGAAGTCGAGTGTGGAGGAACACTGGTGATGGCTCACGCCTCAAGTACTCTGTGGCTTACCTACCTTCACAGCTATTTAATGAGTGCCTACAGCACCTAATAGCCCTAGAAGACTGTTTCTCAGCATCAAAGATGGCACACTTCTGCCCTTCAGACTTTGCAACCTTGTTTATTTGCTTACAAAGCAATGCGTCCAACAGGTAGCAGGGGTCAGGGGAGAAAGATCTATTCAAGTGTCTGTACAGAAGGATTGGATCAGACATAGCCTGAGGTAAAAAACCTTTCACAAGGTGAGTTTCAAGAGTTAACTAGAGGCTGAAAGATCATAGACTTGACTCTGGAGTCAGATTAACAGATACTTTTACTGGATGAGTATGTCTAGTCTTAAGGCTGCATCAAATCACCCGTTAGAGAGCAGGAAATGAAGAAGCTGTATTTTCTTGTTTCATTTTGGTTTGTTGTTTTTGGTTTTTTTTTGCTTGTTTGTTTTGTTTTTAAAAATCAAACTTTCCAGCCAGCAAAGATAACAAATTGTGTTGTTTTCAGCTTCATTATCTCTTTGTTTTGCTCTCTTAGACTCTTGCATCTTTCCTTACATGCCATCCCAGGGACAACAACCTTTTACATTCACAGAATCAAGGGTGTTGCAACCTCCGGTGTTGTTGGTGTATTGCTCTAAAATTAACTTTCCCTCCAGCTGTTCAGATCATGTGACAATGACTTGTATTTTACTGGAGGTGAAGAATGTGTGGGATAGACAGACTTGGCTTCAAATTTTTGCTGCTAAGTTTTTTTAAAGTGTTGTGGCCACATCGGTGTTTAAAATGGGGATGATAACGCTCCTGCATTTCACAGAGGAGTTATGCTGTCTGGTCTGTTCTCTGGCTAGTTGCAGAGACCACCTGAATGTTTATAGAGACTTTTGCCAAGTCCCCTTTCTCTCATGGCTTTTCCAAAGTTGCACGTTTTCTGAGGTTCTTCTTTAAATCAGCCTGACTCATGGAGTAAACATTGATATGTCTGTCTGTTTTCTTCCAGCTCCTGTAAGTACTCTCATGACATCACCAGTGCTGAGAACAAAAAAGTTCTAAAAAAACATGATTTGTCTGGCCTCAGTGAGGATGAGCTGCGAATCCTGCTTCTCCAAAACGACGCTTTCTTCCTCCCTGATGTGAGTTGTACTGATGTCTTAAAAGAAGCTTTTTGTTCACCAGGAATGGGAGAGGGTAACAGAGAATGTGGAGTTCTGATCTCAGTGTCAACCTGTTAAAATGTAACAGGATTATTCTGAATGAAGTAGGAATGGGGATGGCTATGAATGAAAGCATCAGAAGAAACAATATAAAGGCCATAAAGTTACTCAAAACAAGCAAATAAAAATGTCAGCAGCTTCATTAGAGGTTTACAAGATACAATTGAAAGACCACAATAATTGTAATGCTTACAGGATAAGAGGTATAATGACCAAAATCCCAGTTTGTTGCTTCTTCTCCAAGAAATGATAGAGACTAGGAAGCAAGGTCCCATTTCCTTTTCCAGTCTTCCTAGGCCTGCACATTTTGGTGCATGAAGGTCTAAGGGAGTGAGAAAAATCTATGAGAAAAGGACCAAATGACTGCAGTCATTTTTGTGTAAAATCTGCCTCTTCTAAAGTGCACTGAGTTTTCATACAGTAATTTTCTATGGAGTTACTTTGTCCAGTTTGTATGCCAGTCACCAAGTTTGTTAAATTCGGCTGAACATTCCATTCCGGGTCTGTGTGTGTGTATAAGGGCAATACTGTCTTCAAGGTAAGTACAGCCTGTTACCCTTGTCTTTTGCAGGTTATAATCTCCACAGATCTGTTGACATAACAGTTCTATTGTTTCTTTAGTCCCTGCTGTGACAGGGCAGGACTTTGACAAAACAGATTTTTTTTGTGTGTAGCATTTTAAAGTATGTTGTGCTGGCAGATTCAAGGAGCATGGTGGCGATAAGCAAGGGGGATTGTTCCCAGTAATGAACATATAGTAGCAACCATCATTGGTTGGTATTACCCTTACGCTCTACTGTGGATCTGTTCAGCCCTCACCACCCATTAATTACCTCTAATTGAGCACCTTAACTGCTATCATGCCGTAAAACACCAAAACCAAGAGAAAACTGTGATTGATGCAGGCCCTTCATAAACCTGAGAGCTGGGAAGAGGGATCGAAAAGCCAACTTGGCTGTTTCCTGCTTAGAAATGCTGACTGGTTGTGTGTGTGAGGACATGGCATGTACAGAGCTCTCAAGCAAGGGGACACTTTGGTATTCTGTGACCTGAACTGGGGTGCAGGGTAAGGAAAAAAACACAACAGCACCATAATGTCAGGGGTTTTCACACTTTCCCTCACCTTCCCTCTGTCTCTCTTTTTTTTTTTTTTGGTAGGTTTGGGGTTTTTTTGGTTTTCTTGTTGTTTTGGTTTTTATTTGTTTCTTGGCAAAGGCAAGGGACAGCTGCTTTCTCGATGTAGCTAAATAGTGGATTCCCTATTGTCATGTTTTTAAACCCTGATGGCAACTAAGTACCATGCAGCCACTTGCTCACTCCCCCACCCTGGTGGGATGGGGAGGAGAATTGGAAAACAAGTAAACTTGTGGATTGAGATAAGAATACTATAATAATTGAAATAAAATAAAACATACTAATAATAGCTGTAATGAGAAGGAGAGAGAGATGAATAAAGCCCAAGAAAAACAAGTAATTCACAATACAATTGCTCACAACGTGCTGAGTGATGCCCAGCCTGTCCCTGAGCAGCAATCAGTGGCTCCCAGCCAACTCCCTCTCGTTTTTATACTGGTCAGGATGTTCTACGGTGTGGAATATCCCTTTGGCCAGTTTGGTCAGCTTTCCTGGCCATGCCTTCTCCCAGCTCTTTGTGCCCCTGCTCACTTACAGAGCACGAGACACTGAGAAGTCCTTGACTGCAGTGAGCCCTGCTCAGCACTAACTAAAACAACTCTTATCAACATTCTTCTCATCCTGAATCCAAACCACCGCACTGTGCCAGCTACTACAGAGAAAATTAACTCTATCCCAGCCAAAACCAGGACACTTACTTCACTGAGGCAGCACTTGCTTCTGGTTTGGTGGTTTATTCTGCTGTTCCTGGGTAAAAATTTCATCCTGCATACTAACATCTTTTAATGTACCTTCCTCCAGATGCTCTGTAGAATTGTTCTCAGCCAGATTCAGTGTTCTGAAAACTCTGTGAGCTTCAGTTTGAAATTTAAGTGGCTGCAATCTCTGCTACCCTAAACTGGTAATTTGTGTAATGGACACCATACAAAATAATCAGTTATTACCTGATTTTCTATTTTAGTTGCTTTTTTTCCCTATTCTCTTGAGCACCAAAGCAATTCCTGTGCTCTGGCCCCTGAAACCAGTGTTTGACATAAGTTTTATGCTTTTTTCAGTAATTCTTAAATCCAAGTTCAGGCTGTGTGACAGACACTATGAATCCAGTGAATAGTTGTTTTGCAGCTAAAACAGGCCTGATTTTCCAGTTTCTAAGCACTGCCATCCCAGCAATCTATAATTCCCCAGCTGATATATAAATCTATATATATTCAGCTTCAATGCAGCATTAAAACTGTCTGCTGGTGGGAAGAGGGGTTGGGAGGGGACCTGTGAGGGTCCCAGTGTGATGTGTCTGCCAGACAGCTGTGTGTCCTCCTCAAAGAAGCTTTCTTCTTAAGGCTGCTCCTCTGTACTGCAGGAGCAAAAGTGTTGCTGTGGTGCTTGGTGGACAATATGAAGGAGTTTTTGGTGTGTGATTTGTTGCCTGGGTCTGATTCACTGCTTATCTCTTCGTTGGTGAATAGAGGAATAAAGAAGTGTTTTGCTTTTTCCATGTGCACTCTAATCTCAAAGCATTCTTCTCACCATTTTTGGAAGCCCAAATGCAGAATAAACTTTAGAAATAGAAAGTGCAAATTCAGTTTTATGCAATTGTCTTGCATCCTTTTTTGGCACTTCCATGCTTGTTGGATTGGTTTTTCTTGAAACAAAAACTGCACAACTTCAAACCCAAAAATGCATGAATTGGCTTAAAACACCTGCTACCTCTGTGCAAGAAATCTGTCTAGATTGAAGAAGTCACAATGACCACATGCCTTTTAGTCACCATTTTTCTGCTCTTAAAGCTGCATGCCTTAGAACAAATAAAAATTCAAATGTGCTTTTCCGTTTCATCTTGTATCTCCCCCACTTCTAGACCTGCCAATTTTACAACAAAAAAGGTGGTGTCTGCATGCAGCAAAACAACTGCAACAAGCTTCATGTTTGTCGACACTTTCTCCAGGGGGATTGTAGATTTTTGCCATGCATGAGGTCCCATAACCTCTTGGATGACCATGCATTGAGAGTGTTGGAAACTGGAGGCATTGATGGGAAAATAGCTTCGAACCTCCAGATTATATATGATCACAAGCACATGGAATTCAACAAGGAACTGAAGAAGGGAAATGGTAAGTTGTAAGAAACACTGGGCTTAAATAGGATTTTGAATTTGATAGAGGTATAAACATCTCAGATAAACCCCATCATCCTTTTGGTGCTTTCAGTACACAACTACAAACCAAGGGGAAATTATTTGAAACAAGCAGTAGTTACAAGGAATAAAGAACCTAAAGTACCTTTGCAAACTGTGGACTCCACACTGCATGTGCCATCTCCAGAAGGTAAATATCTAGATACCAACTGCTTCCGTGTGGAATCAGCTTTTGTATTTCCCCTCTTGCAACGTGTACATATTTTTTTCCTCTCTGCCATTATCTACTTTCCAGAATTAAGTAAGTCGTGGCTGAATCATGTGGGAGAACTGCACTATTATTGCCTAAAATACTGCATAGAAAATAGGTATTGAGTGGCTGGCTAGGGTTTGCAGCTGTTATTACTCATCTGTTGTATCAGCAGTGGAGCACAATTATATGTGTGATGGACATAATTCTCCACACAGATTGGGATATTGCCAGCTCGCTGAGCTTGTGGCCCAGCAGTGCTGTTCATTCAGTCTTCTCATGCAGGTCCTGGTAGCACCCTGCCTGGTCAGAGACAACAGCAGTTGCCAACAGGAGGTAAAGATGAAGGTACGGATTGTTTCTAACTGTCTAGTCACGAGATCAGTGGTTCTCACTGGGATTAGATTTCACCCAGCCCCACATCTCCCAGGGGTAGTCAGAATGCAGCTTCTGTGCTTACCTTACGGTACGCTGAGAGCCGCAGTGCTGGACAGCGGAGCAGCGCTGGCATTTCTGCCCAAGCACCACCACGAGGAGTAGCCTGGGACTGATGTCTGTACTGTCCTGGACACAATTCTTCCTTCCTGGGAAGGAGACAGATATCTTTCCTTGCCTTCTGTACCTAGGGAGTAAATATAGCTTTGTCAGTAGAGCAGTTATGTTTATATACCTTCCAGTGAGTGAATAGCAACTTGTATGTCTCCTGTCCTGGGCCTTGGCTTTAAAGCCTGCCAGAGTCCAGTAGTCTCTGAACAGGTTCTTTTAGATATTCCACATATGGATGGTGTAATGTTTAATATCAAATTATGTGTGATGGACATAATTCTCCACACAGATTGGGATATTGCCAGCTCGCTGAGTTTGTGGCCCAGCAGTGCTGTTCATTCAGTCTTCTCATGCAGGTCCTGGTAGCACCCTGCCTGGTCAGAGACAACAGCAGTTGCCAACAGGAGCTGGAGGTAAAGATGAAGGTACGGATTGTTTCTAACCCTCCACTCTTGAGCTTACGTGAAGACAGTTGGTGTTACACAGGTGTTGTGGACGAGCCTCAGTGAGCACCACAGAGCCACTCACTCACTTCCCCTCGACCCCCAGTGGGATGGGGAAGAGAAAAGAAAGAATTAAAACAAGAAAGCTTAAGGGTCGAGATGGGAGAGAGAGAAGAACCCCAATGGATAAGCAGAAGAAGAAAACAAAGCAAAAGCAGTGATGCAAAAGCAGTCACACACCACCTCCCACACATGCCTAGCCAGTTCCTGAGCAAAAGATAGCTAACCCTCATAAAACTCCCTCTTTTCCCTTTATTGCTGACCATTATGCTATATGGTATGCAATATTTGGTGAGTTTGGGTTCCCTGCCCAGTTGTGTCCCCTCCCAACCTACTGTGCACCCCCAAGTCTATTCACTTTGGGGGCAGGGTGAAAAACAGAGGCGGCCTTGATGCTGTGTATCACTGTTCAGCAAAAGCTAGGGCTTATCAGGGTGTTAGCAGCATTGTTTGGGTCAAAAATCTAAAACACAGCATCATATGAGCTGCTATGAAGAAAATTACATCTTATCCTAGCCAAGTCCAGTACAGAGACATTTCTGATGTAGTAGAGTTTCCACTGGAAACAAAACCCCAAATATAAATGTTTACTTACCAAAATGTAGCAGTTGCAATGCACAGTTCAATCACAATGCTAATGGCTCTCCCATTACAGGTCTGTATAATACGCTCATTGTCACAAAGCTGGGTGTCCCCAGTCCTTGGGAAGGGTTGAAGCCAGCTGAAGCCTGTTGCTGTCTTGAGAATTCTTCTGTTAGTTCTTCAGGTTTAGTACCTCTGTGTTGGCCTGAACTCCCCCCATGCTGGTCTGGCCAACTCAGGGAAAAACATTTCTACCCTGCATTGATCCGCTGAGCTGACACAGCCATTTATCCACCCTCTGCTTCCCGTGGTGTGGAGACAAAGTTGGCTGCTTTGCAAGAACCATGGTCAGCCACAGCCTGTGTTACTCTTCCTGACACTGCCCTTGCACTTCTCCACTGAGACTTCTTCCAGTGTCAGGGTTTATTGGTCAGTCACAAAGCCCTGACTCGTGTGGTGGGCTGTATGGGGGATAGTCAGATCCTCAAAGTGCTTAACTTGGCTACTGCAGTCAAATCTTTGTTATTTCCGGGATGAAGTACCAAGCAGGGTCTTTCTCTTGAAGCAAATAAGGACTGATGTGTTCTTTCCCATAGATAAAAAGGACAATTCCTCTGCTGAAGCTTCAAAGGACAACAAAGAAGTTAACTGTGATGAGATCTGTGTGTTCTATGTCTGGAAGTACTGCAAACATAAGGGTAAGCTTTATAAAAAGTAATGTAGTCACTAGAGACAGTGACTGCAGAGACAGTCCCTGCTCAGTGGCTCGGGCTAGTGGTGGCATATGGAGTGTCAGTGGCAATTGTGCCTTCTCACTCACTGGACAAACACACCCCCCTCCTGTTTTCAGCACTCTGTCTTCATTGCTCATACCAAAGCCCAGGGAGAAAGCCTCAAGGTGTAAAATCTGCTGGTTCCTTTTTGGGTTTTGTTGTTTTGCTCTCTGTGTTATGATTACAGAATTCAACTATGTCTGATCTTATTACAGATAAATGCAAATCTGTTCATTACCATTTGCCATATAAATGGGAGATATATGATGGGATCACCTGGAAAGACCTTTCCATGATGGAGGAAATTGAAAAGGCCTATTGTGACCCAAAAACCAGCAGGTATAGTGATGCTGGACTCCTTGCTTGGAGTACTGTGATTGAACCCCTGTGGAAAACCTCCCATTTTCTTCCAAAGATGTCTGACTTCAATAACTTCTGGCTACTGAGCCTCTCAGAATCTGGGAGGATGTACAAATGAGAATTTTTCCTTTTAAAAAGCAAAGTAAAAGTGATTGCATGGCAATATCACCCCATTTATGTCTTCTAAAAAGAACAAAACTGTATCTCACATTTAAAGCTCTGTGTAGGGTAAAAAGCGAGTGGAATACAGTGTTTAGAATATCAGCATTTCAGATAATGAATCATAATTTATTTACAATAATGAAGTTGTAACAACATATCAGAGCTGGTCCTTCTCTATGGCTGTTCTTTTCCTACTACAGCTAGTATGCGTCATAAAAATAACAACAACAACAACAATAATAATAGCAATATCTGTTGTGTGCCTAGAGACATTTTATGAGATGGCCCTTGTGTAAGCAGCATATCTCTTTTTTTTTCCTGTTTTTCTTTCTATTTTAAGTCCTTTCTGAAAAGCCCCACTGTGCCACCTGGATTCACAGGGGACCCCAGGTCTGGCTTCGAAAAATGTATAGTAATTTTGGCCCATGCCTCTTAAGGCAACAGATGACTTTGCATCTTGTTGGATGGTGCAGATCAAAAGCAAGATTCACAAGAGGAGGCTGCTTTCAAAGTCTTCCTGCCTGGAAGTTAACTTTTCAAGCCTCGCAGGAGTAAGAGCCCAGAGCTCCAGTGACAAATACAGTTTGCAGACCTCACAGCTGTGATGGTTGTGACTGCATCCTTTGTAACCACAGGAAAAGAACCAAGTTGATAAGCTGGGTGTACCTACAAAATTCTGGTTTTGCACTGAGACAAACTGGAAACTTTCCTTATTGCAGAGTACCTTTTGCCATGCTGTACTTGTAGTCCTGTGCTGTCTGTAAAGCTGGCAGTGCCACATATGGCCAGTGACTGAGATGGCATTCCATGTCTCACAGGCCATAGTTTGCTTATGAAGCTTGGATATGCTTTTCAGAGCTGTCATGTGTTGTGGAAAATACTCTTATTCAGGCCTAATTAGGTTCAGTCACATTATATTAAAGAAAATTGCACAAGCCTAAACAGAGGATTAGAGGATAAAAGATCTACTGTTAACTGTAAAAACCCTGAATTTGTCCTTACAGCATAGCAGGCAGGAACATTAACTTCCAGACAATGACCTGCTCTTCTTCTCCGGTTCGACGCCTCTCTACACCATCATCAGTCACAAAACCCACATTTGTACTGACCACACAGTGGATTTGGTACTGGAAGAATAACGAAGGCCAGTGGATTGAATATGGAGAGCAGGTGAGTTCATATCCTGTGCTTTGAGTTACTTCTACAGGAATATGTGGAGCCTCTCCCCCCACTCCCCTTTACTCAGCAGGATTAAGTGAATCCTTGTGTCAGGTAAGGCAGCAAAGCTACAGATGTTCATAACAGATGTGATAAAATGCTGACAGGCTGGAGGGAAGGGAACTGCCTTTTGGAGTTATCCACGGCTTCTACACAGATCGAACATGTATACACAGTCCTTAAGATAGATGGGAAATACTTGCCTCTCTTCGAATCATTGCCCTGCTTCCTTGGACATGCAAGGGTTGCTTCGCTCTCTCAGATAAGATGCAGTCTTTTTCCTTGGATGGCCAGGTCCTCTGATGAGAAACTAACCTATCTGAAAAATGCAGGAAAAGAAATAAGCAATCTCACCTTCCCCCAAGGCAAATGAGTTTTCCTCATATGCTTTACAGTGTAGCTGTCCAAATGGTAGAACACAAAGGTGATCCAGGGACTTGGAAAAGTATGCAGGGAAAGATCTTGGATATAGTGCAGTTGGTAAAGGGCCTCAGCCTCAAGGAGTAAGCTTGAGAGGTGTCCCAGCTCCAGGAGAGATCACTGCTGTGCAGCCCACTCCTTAGCAAGGAGAGCTCAAAACCAGTTCACTCAGGCTGTCCTATTTGTGGAATAAAGCGGTTGGCTCAGAGTTAAATTACATGTGAAGTAAAAGAGAAGCGTGAGACTCCTTAAACCTGCAACTTTCTTTATTCCTTGACAAATTAGTCTTGGAACAACCACCTGCTATTCATGTGTTAATCACATGGTCAGTGCTCATTTCCAAGCTCATATGCATCAATGCTCACCATGTCACCCTGTGCCTTTGTGGGTTTTCAGAGAACAGGCTGGAACTGGAAAAGTTCATGGCCTTGTCATGGCCTAGGCCATTACTTCCTTTGGGGCCTGAACCAAATAATGAACACTAGTTTGGTGAGGAGCCGAGTGCAGCTGTCACACCCTGATGGCAGCTGAG